TAAATCTGATATGCAGGTCTCTCGTTGTAACATAGAAGTAGTCTGGGCTGCGAATCCATCCTCGACATAATTCGGAGTTTTGCCCATTAAAGTCCAACCGAGATGCGTTTCAATTGCTGTCAGACCGCATTTGAACTGCTTGGTTCTTCCTGTCATTAATTTCCCAGCAATATCAGCTCCAATAAGAATTTTAATTGGCTGAGCATGGTTCGACTCACCTGGTCCGTCTGTTAACTGTATGCCTAGCTCCTTTAATTCATTCATCCAAGGCTGCTCATCCCATAGAGGAACATCGGCACATATTTCGTCCTCGTCGTAGGCTTGGAAGTTGCAGGCATATTTTCTATCAAGACTGCTCATATGAACCAGGTATTTTCGGTGATCCTTAATTTCTGAAAACACGTTGCCGAACAGAGAGTGCTTCAGCTTCAACATGCCGATCGGCTCATAGTTCATGACGCGGATAAGGTCTTTACACACGTACGATTTTGTAGAACCCGAATCGAAGAACACGCGCACGATACGTTCTTCCTGTTTGTTCCTGATTATCGCGTGTAAGGTCTGCAGTATCACTTCTGGCCCTTTTGTGTGACTGAGTAGCGACTTTTCATCTTTGACATCACATCCGTCTGCTTTGTGAGACGGCGCTACATTACGGTCGCCCATAACCTCCGGGCACATTAACACAACATGACGACGACTGCATAAGGCACATTTCAGATTTCCGCGACACATACGGCTTTGATGTCCGATCTTCAGGCAGTTGAAACACGCATTTTTGGTTTGCAACACCGATTTCCTGTCACTCAGCGTCATTTTGCGTGCTTTCTCACATTTCATGCTTGCATGTTCATTCTCGCAGAACACACACACGGTAGGTTTAGTAACCTTTCCACTCGCGTGTAAACTCATAGCAGAAGGCGTATCTTTAGTGGATTCCGAGCGTTGTTTATTTTTTGACTGCTTCCGTTCATTCATGTCAAAACCGTTTACCGCGATCGTTATGCGCTCTTCATTTTCCACTTCGGATTGTAGAAATTTCATTAATCGTGTGAGTCTATCTTCTCTCGGCGGTGGCTCCTCTCCCATACGCTGTGGCGCAGATGGCGTCACTTGATTCCGCTGCCAGGCGCGTAACAATTCTTCCGGCAACGACGATTCGACGAGAGGGTACAACATGGCGCCGCATCTGTCCGTTGTCACACCAAGAGATTCGAGAGCACGAAGTTGTGACTCTATTTTATCGAACAAGCTTGCTAACTTTATTTTCTCGTTCGGCTTCATAGCATTTTGCAATAT